TCTGGAAAATATAATTTAAATATGAAACAAAATTGATGTTAAACTTATTTCGCATATTCTATTTTTATCAACTCTTTTTAACTCCAATTTTTCAATTTTTTTTCATTTTATTTATTCAGTACATACGATATGATATTACAAAAACATTTTTTGTTTCCATCTTACAAGCGTGTAACATTGCACATTTACGTACAGCAGTTCACATATTATAATTTTTTTAGTTGTTATATTATAATTACCTGTGATCAAACAACATGGTAACAACATTATTCGTGTTCTGTACTTATGTAGGAGGCATTTTATTAAGTTTTAATACGTTTTAAAATGAGTCAAAAGTGCATTAAATATTAAAATTTAAAAATGCTCATAACTCAGTTCAAATTAAAAATAAAAATGATCAACTATTATATTATGGACGGTATTATCAAAACCATAATATTATAGAATATATTAATCGTATTTTTTTAACTAACTTGTCAGATAAAATGTGATATGAATATAATATGATGTTATGAACTATAATTGCTATGACGTTTATTAAATTGTATATTTTTTTTTATTATTTAATTTTATATTTATAAGTTTTTATTTAAAATATAGGACAATTAAAGAGTTGGAGTGTCAGAGAATGTTAAAAAAGTATAATTAAATAATATACAATTTGTGCATTAAGTGAAAAATATATGAACATTTTTTTTCTAAGTTGGGGATAATGAAATAAAAAACTTAACGCTTACACAAATTATAATTATAAAAATAAAAAAATGAAAATATTAACAACATTATTAAAGAATATCCCATACTTAAATTTTTTTTTTTTTTAATTGATCTTTTTTAAAGCCCGGCGACTATGGCCATTAGCTTGATTGTAGGGTTTATGATTGTAGGTAGTAGGGTTTGAAATTGTAGGGTTATTACACGTGTGTGTTGTGTTTGGCAGAATTTCTATTGGGGCACCCGTAGGTTTCTGCCATGCCCCGGAGTGGGGGATGGCGGCACTTGTTCTCCGGACACCGTTACTTGCCCGGAGAAAAATGCCGCCCAGTGGTCGAGAGAATCGAACCCGCGACCAACAGCGCCGCAGACGACGTGTTCGACCGCTCGGCCACCTCGTCCCCCATACTTAAATTTATAAAATCGAAAACGTTAAAAGTGAGTTAAATAATTTAGAATTAGCCGGTGAATATATTCTTGTCGTTTAATTCAATTTAAATAACTGCGTACTGTGTAGACTTATGAGTTACGATTAATTATAAGTATATTTCAACGAGAACGATAAATCAAAAATAATTAATATTTTAAATCAAAACTGGTATTAACCTTCAATATTTTATTTAAGTTTTACTTAGAATGAATCCTCTTCAAATAGGTTTTAGGACGATAAAATAAATGCACATCATAATTTGGAGCCACGGTAGTACCTAAATAATTTGTATTATTATTTGTATTATTGTTTTTATTTCCGTGAAAATAACATAAAACATATTTCCGTGGCTTTAACTATATTAAAACTCGTGTGACATATCACAGCGGAAACTGTATGACAATGTAAGAGCACCACAAACGATTATTTGCATGTGCACAAAACGTTATATTATATCTTTGACCGTCTGTACAGTGTACAATGATATATTATGATCGAATATTTATAGGTACAATATTTCATCGAATTTATACACATCTTTATTTATTTGTTAATATTATTATATACTTTGGCCGGTTACAACTTATACATATTTATGAATTCTCAGAGTATAATTCAAAAAGTTAAATCATTTCTGATAATTCTTAATGGAAACGTTCCAAGATGGTGTTATATTTTTTGTCCCAATTTTATTTATTTTCCTTTCTTTTTTTTAATCCAAAACGAGGCAGATGTTTTTGAACAAAAATATGATTGGTGAGCTCAGCGTCGGCGGTGTTGCCCTTGCCGCCGCGCCAAGGGAGCAAATCTCTTAATTTCCGAACACTCATAACTTTCACGGGTCCATAAAAATAATCTAAAATGTGTTAGTAATTGAATTAAAAAAATAAAACAAATAAAAATAAAGTATGCGTAGTGGTGATGGCAAGACAGTGAATCGAGAGACATTTTTTTTTTCATTCATTCAATATCCTTTTGGAAATCATGTAAAAAAGAATACAGCCAAGTGAAGCATTGATTTTTTACCGGAAGGGGTGTGAGGCGGCGAGGGTATCCGACGTGTATTTATACTTATATGTAGTACATACACATATATGCATATCACATATTATACACAATATTATTATTATTATACACATATGTATAGTGTATTGCTTTAATATTACAATCACCTGAGACCTGTAGCTTGAGGGGCGACCGTTTTCACCTTCTACCGCCACGATCCCTTGTGGATCGCTAAACAATGGAAGATAATAATAACATGTTCTACAACAATGAACGATAAATCGCTACTGATGTGGGAGCTGCGGGAGAGTCAAATTAATTTACAATGAACCAGCGCGGTGCGAGAAGACGTGCGAGACCAAAAATTATTGTTAAAAATTAATTTATAAGTCATAATAATATCATTATGCTTTGATATAATATAGTTGGTATAGTTATGGTACCAATCCATAAGAGACACCACAAAATCGTTTGTCTAGAACGCGCCACGAGTGTTCATATTTGATCGTGGAATAATGGATTATAGAATACAGACAAAACACGTGTTTTATTAGTTTAAATATATATATAATATTATATTGTCTCGAGTAATATCCTGGTCATTAAAATTACTATGATCGTTATAAATTATGTATTAAGCCTGGAAAATGTTCAGGTAATTTTATTCCCAACCTAATCATTAGATGAACACTTCGTTGAATATTTTAATCAGCTTATATTTTCAATTATGTTTGTAATGTAACTTAAGATTGCAAACAAATTCAAAACATATCTGTATCCGACGAAATGCCTATTAAAATGTTAATATTTTTATAATGAAAATCATTTCTACGAATAATTTGTATTTTTATTCCAAGTTGCTTCGAATCAAATTCCAACATCAAGTCTGATCAGAAGTCATGTTTATTAGAGGCGTAATAGTGGACTAGAAACTGAGATTATTATGAACACCCGAATATGCAATTTAAAGGGATATAAATCCTTAATCACTGTACTATCTTTATCATCAGAATTTAATTTTATTGTTTTGAAATAACTTTATTCGAGGGAAAATGCCAAATTTGGTGTCGATTTTCGCATAATACGAACAGTAGTATACTAGTATAATATTATTTTATATTCGCATCGGTAACGTTATAATGCAATTTTATTTGGTTTTGAAAAATGGAAATATGCAAATAAAATATGTTCGTATTAATGTATTATACAGGTACTGTATATATGAATATTTTAATACGTGACGAGTAACTTTTTGACAAATTCTTGGTCGGAACTTCTATAACGGAGCCATTACGATTATATTATATTATATATACTTCAATACTTGTAACGTTCCTTATTAAAACTTATAGAATCATCGTGTATATATATCTCATAGCAAGTGATAATATTCTATGCTGTAAAATTATCCGCTTCGCTTAAACCTCTAAATGAAAATTATGGGACATTTTGAGAATGTGCCATAACTCCTGATCAAGTTTCAGCTGCCTTGTTAGCTGAGCTCGTTACATATATTACAGCTTTTAACTCCTCCGATCGGGTTACACGGTATACTGTATTTTTTTTTTAAGTCTATTAACAACGTCTCTAATATCTTAAAACATGTCATACCATTGTAATAATTAAAAACACATAATTTCCTTCTTTCTCACTCGTATTATCAATAATATAATAATTTAAATTTGTGTCAAATCAAAAAAAAAAAAATAATATAATAGGATAAACTATTGGGTTTGGTTAAAAAAAAGCTAGCTGGGAGTTAAATTGTAAACTAAATCATGAGTCCTTTATACATTTTTATATTTGTAATTTATGCGTTTCAATAATTGCAGATATCTGATTTGTGAATTATTTTAATATAAATTACCGTCGTGCTGATTAATTATTATTTACAAACTCAATTTGTTACCAAAGTCATATTGTATTTTTTAATTTCAACCATGCGGTATACTGGTGGTTTAATATGATTGAATAGCTAACATTGTATGGTGTGTACCTACTAGCATTTGAATAAACCATATAGGTACACGTGTACAATTTAATAAAATACAGCTTGATTGGAATAAGTGAAATGGAATTAAAACATTAATAATTTAATACGCGTTTTAAATTTAATTCCTTAATTATGATAATAACTGATCAAAACGTTTCGTTGAATACAATTAAAAGTTAAAACATATATGATTTAAATAAAAAGTTTTCTCATAGGAAATTAAAATAAAATAATTTTAAAACTGATTGAAACTTATATTTGAATGAATGCATACGTCGTAAAAAATATAAAGTTGTGTAATATGTATATTACGTTTAATTACTATTATATTTTTGTAATAAATTACCTATGATTTATGTATACTCTATAATAAATTATTAACGATCAGCTAATAAGGTGGAAAAGGATGTTACCACTCCATAATAATATGAAAGGTATGATAGGAAAAAGTATAAAAATAAAAATTTAACACAGTTATACGATGAGCATAATAATATTAACAAAACCAAAGACATTCTTGAAAAAAAAAATTGAAATCTAATAATATAAACAAAATGTGTAAACAGTTCTCGCATGATTTTCGTTAAACTTATTACTTAGAAGTAAAAATATTGCTATATTTTATATAGTGTTGCTGATGTCATTATCATAATATATAGTAACACAGTAATATTTTTATGGTTTTTTTCCAAGAAATATATATTTCAATTTAAATGTGTCAGCTTGGTTTTTTTTTTTTTAGAAAAAGAAATGAGAAATTCAAATTTCAAAACATAATATTTTCAACATCCCAACAAACGATTGTTCACGAAATTAAAAATAACTTTGATAGAAGATTACAAAGCAAAAGCCACTTACCCAGTTCTTGCAAAGTTTCCCAAGTAGAGTATCATAGCGTCAGACAATAAAGCTTCTGCTTTTGTGAAATTTCTGGAAAAATGATTCATGCCATCAGTTACCATTGGAGCGCCGAACATATATGGAAGCTCTTCTCCGTGGGCAGTACCTATTCTCTGTAAAAAAAACAACTAAGTATTAATATAACATAAAACAAATAGTTTTTACCATATTATATGTGAATAAGAAAGAACAAGAATAGATTTTTAAACTTGGGTTACTCAATTATCATAACACTCGTCATTTGAATTCAATAAAAATGTATAATTTATTTGAATGTATCTGCAAAACAAATAAATTATATTAAATCCTTATTACTTATGTATTAAAAACAGTTTTTTTTTTGAGAATATTTTTTCATAGTATTTCGTTGTATTTGTACTTGTATACACGACTTAGATTTCCGACATTATATTGTATTATTGCGAAAATTATAGTATTACATAATTTTAGTTATATTTTATAACTTACTAAATGTTTAGGTAAAATAACAAATATTATATATTTAGATTTAGATTACACACAGTTCTATTTTAATAGATGTAGGTTACATATAGTGATAAATTGAGTCATCATTTTGAAAGTTTAATAAGTTAAAAAGTTAATGAATTACACTAACCAGCAATACATTGTGTAGGTACATATAAAAGTATTATTATTTAAAACTAAAATGTTGTTAAAAAAAAAAAAAAAATAATGGATTTATTTACTACGATGATAAATATCCAAGAGATTACTGAAACGTATTCATAATTTAAAATTATATTGATATTAATTTTAAAGAAAAATATTAGAATATAACTTGAAAACAAAATTCTCTGCATTTTTAAGTCATTTTAGTATGGTATTACACCTAAAATACACAACATTGCACTTAGACTTTCCCCATTGCCACACTTATTCTAGTTACTCTTACTTATACAAAAATACGTAAAAGAAACCAAAATAAGGATTTAAACCACAAAAACCAACGATAAATTAAACTTAGAATGATTCAAATATATTAAAATAAGTACCGAGTTGAAAAAATACGCAGATGTAAAAGACTGAACACCAAATGTTAGTAAAGTAAGATTTGTTTTTATTTAGAATTTAGTTATATATGAAACTCGGGGGAATTTTAGACTATTGGTGTTTTAATTTTATAAAGCATCGTCTCTTGGCAAAATATATGATACTTAAAGTTATAATATACTATATTATATTAATTGCTCCCTTGCAATCTATGTGAAATACTGGCACCCAACCCAGAGATTCTTTTTCAATTCCTCAAAGAGACAAGCTCTCCTTCTTGCTCCAGAAAACATAACATATAGATGCACATAGTTTTATATCACATGCCGTGATTATACAATAAATTAAACAGTTTTGTATCATATTTAAAATAATTTTTATACAACATCAATATACTGTATCATAAATAGTTAACTGAAGATACATAAAAATTTCACTAAATGTTTGTATTAGCGAAATTTTCAATCCTTAGATATAAAAGTTGAACATTTTATAAATTTTTAACTACAAAATAATTATTCAATTTTAAATTTGATAAATTTTGTCAAAATTCGAACTTTAAATGCTTATAAAAAAAATTGAGACTAACGATTTTTAATATTTTTTAACTGCTATCGTTACAATATATCAGAAGCCTTGCATTAAATTGTCATGCTTTTTTACCCAACAAATAAAATTTTATTAATATTTATAGAAGAAAAAACTAAGAAAATTGAAAACTGACCATGTCCGTAAACAATTTTAAAAGACTCAAATTATTTTCAAAATTGTATGGTGGATAGAAAATGCGAATATAAACATTCAGTGAAATTTTCAAGTATTCGTTTCAAGTCATTCGTTTTTTAATTACAACAAAATAAGAAAATCGTTACATGAGAAATCAAGTGAATATCAAATGTTGTAAAAATATGAATTTCAAAGATCACAAAAATTTAATTTTAGTTTCTTGTAGACATTTTTTTTTAGATAAAAGTAGACAAACTTATGAGGAATCTTGTATTACATTTTTTAATCTGAGATTTAAAAAGAACATTTTTTATGAATTTCTAATTCGAAATAATTTCAAATTTTTGTCATTTTTACGTCATTTGTCAATATTTGAACTTTAAATGCTTATAAAAAAAAATTGTAACTATGGATTTTTAATTTTTTTAATCTGCCTTTGAAACAATATACTAGGAACCTATGTTATGTATGATACGCTTTGTATTTGTAAAGTTACTAATGTTACTATTAATTATTGCATTTGGTAAAGAAAAGAAAAAATTTAAAATATTACACGTTTAGAATACAACTTTGGATGGTTCTTAAGGTAAAGCTACTATAATTGTGGTTCACTTAGTGTTCTGTTAATTTAACTAAAAAATAAATATCAACAACCATAATATAATATAGAAAAGTGTTGAGATTTTTAATTTATTTATAGAAGGCGTTATTTTTGTGTGTAAAATAAAAAACAATCAAAAATTTAACCTTCCAGGAAAAACAGACGTCATTATAAAATCAATATTTTCATTTTTCTACTGAGAATCGAAAAATTAAATCACTGTATTATAGCACTTTTGAGATACTACAGAGTATTGAGTATTTTATCGTACACCATACTATAAGTTATTTTTATAATTTTTTTCAAAAGATCTACCTTAATGAGTTTTTGAATACCTTATATATTACCTTACACAAAGAAAGTATATTGAATATTAATTCAATATTGCACCAGATTTTAAGCAAATTATAATAAATAATATTATAAAAAATCCATAATTTATTTTTGAAGTATTTATACCTATTCTTTTCTAGACTTTTCTTTGTCTTTGTCATATTCAACAGTTTATTTTATATCTATCAAAAATGATTAACAATTGTTCTGTCATCTGTGTGTATCAAAATGGAGGTAAATAAGAATTGTTTGCAGAAAAAAGAAATTTCAGGGGAGGGGGTCAGAACCCTAGAACCCTAACCCTGCGTATGCCACTGATCAACATAATATGGTGTTGCGCCTGGTGCCAATGTAATTTTTTGACAAAAATACGCTCAACGGGAATAATGATTCTGTTCTGTAAAACCAACCAAATTTGATATATTTTTTTTAATTAATAGACATCTATTTACAGGTAACAGGCCGCATCAAACCCCTTTATTCAATATTTTAATCTCAAACTAAATAATTTGACTTCAAAAATAATACAATTTTAAGCTTTTTTTTATAAATTATATTATACCATTGTATGAAATAAAATAAATATTGGAGTTCGATGCGACCTGTAGGAAGTCATCTTCTTTCAGATAAAATGGTTATCAAAACCCAACAATTCTAGAAGGCCTGAGAATTATACCCGTGAAGTCATTTTTTTCTATATAATATACCCCTTAAATAGTCATCGGGTAGTAGATTAGTGGAAAAGAATTATAATAATTAAGACGGCAACTAAAATATAAAATTTTGTTTTCAAATCTTATAGAATTGCGAAAAATTCATAAAACTGGCCCGGGCCCCTTAATTCATTATTGTATTGTTAAAGTATGTAATTAACTTAAAATTATAGGATTTTATTAATTGGTCCTACAAAGTATAGGCAAATTCAATGTTTTGTAAAACCGATAACCATGACGTATCATTACACATAATATTATTATGTTCATTGCACTTTATTTGTATCTCTAATATACAGTATAATATAAAAACTCAAAACTCAAAATATACGACATCGGTAAATAAATATGACTGATCCGTCGCTAAGCCGTCCGAAGATCTATGATCGACTATATATTGACTAAACCGGAATCTAAAATTGCTTGTCCCTTTCTAGTTTCAACAATAACAATAACAAACTCTACCGAGTACATGCAACAGTATAGTTATTGGATAAACTATATTAAAGCTCGACGTTGATGTATTTGCATGTTTTTATACCGAATGTACCCAAAAGTGACTAAGTAGATTAGGTACTGCAAACTTAATTATAGCCAACTTCGGCCGACATAGGTCACGCCTATCTTATTTTTTATTCGCATATTATCTACTTCGAGGTTGTAAACTAGGATGTATATAACTTCATGTAATCGGATTTAAAAGCATCTAATCTTACACATGTCATTGATTATAATATTGTTTTTCCATGGAATATAATAAAATATATTTTATATAATAGTCTACGACGTTGTTTAATTGCAATTATTCATTATTGACATAGGTTAATGTTTTATTTTTATTGTCGATAAAAAATAAAAAATATGTGATTAACTACTGTGAAAAAAAAAAATTATGTGTGTTTTACTACTTTGGAACTTTGATCGACGATTTTTTTAAGACTGACAAATATTTATCTATGAAAATAATATTATCGTAATATTATCTATCATAATATTACGTCATATGAAGTATCTCCTGCATGACTCAAACAATTATGACTTTATCGGTGCACAGTAAAACGCGGTCCGTATAAACGGAAAAAACCAGCACGACGACGTATATTAATATATTACTAGATAGTCAGGAGCTGCTGTGGAAGAGGAGGGGAGGGGGGCTAGAGCGCTTCCTCAGCCCGTATTTCAAAAAAATTGTTTAGTTAAAAACATAATTAGGTACAAACAATAAACATATTATACTATACTGAGAATTGTGACTTATCAACACCCCCTCCCCCCCTCAACCAAGTCTCTGAAGCCCCCCGTAGGTACCTATATAATATTAACGTTATAACATTACATAGTAATAATAATTAATATAATATTACATTTTATTGTGCTCGTCAAACGTGCCGCGGTTTCAAAAGTCGGTCAGAGAATAATTGTTATAATATCGTTTGTGTTCGCGTTTCGAGCACCGACATAACAATATACACATAATAATGGGTAGGTATACATTTGCCGACGTACAACTACACGTACACACTCGACAGGTCTGCAGGCAGTCGAGTGCACAAGTCGTCGGTGGCGGCGCGCACGGTCTCGTTGCAGCCAATTTTAAATAACCCCTCCCCCCCTCCCCCGCACCCGGACCCGGCAACCACCCACTTGCCCACACGCACGCCCTGCAAACACACCCGCACGAGACACGGTCGCGGCCACTCGAAATCGGTTGGCACGGACGCGACCAGTT